TTCAGTTCTAGTTCAGTTCTAGTTCAGTTCTAGTTCAGTTCTAGTTCAGATCTAGTTCAGTTCTAGTTCAGTTCTAGTTCAGTTCTAGTTCAGTTCTAGTTCAGTTCTAGTTCAGTTCTAGTTCAGTTCTAGTTCAGTTCTAGTTCAGTTCTAGTTCAGTTCTAGTTCAGTTCTAGTTCAGTTCTAGTTCAGTTCTAGTTCTAGTTCAGTTCAAGTTCAGTTCTAGTTCAGTTCTAGTTCAGTTCTAGTTCAGTTCTAGTTCAGTTCTAGTTCACTTCTTGTTCTGCTCTTGACTAGACTACTGACTAGACGGTAGATTAGATTATAGACAAGACTATAGACTACACTATAGACAGGACAGACTAGACTATACTAGATTATATAATATAGACTAAACTAAGGATTAGACTATCGAGTAGACTGCAGACTAGACTATAGACTAGACTAGACTATAGACTACACTATACACTAGACTATACACTAGACTATAGACTAAACTATAAACTAGACTAAAGACTTGACTGTAGACTAGACTATATACTAGACTACAGACCTGACTATAGACTAGACTATAGACTAGAGTATAGACTAAACTATAGACTAGACTATAGACTAGACTATAGACTAGACTATAGACTAGACTAGACTAGACTATAGACTAGACTAGACTAGACTAGACTATAGACTAGACTATAGACTAGACTATAGACTAGACTATAGACTAGACTATAGACTCGACCATAGACTAGACTATAGACTAGACTATTGACTAGACTATAGACTAGACTATAGACTAGACTATAGACTAGACTATAGACTAGACTATAGACTAGACTATAGACTAGACTATAGACTAGACTATAGACTAGACTATAGACTAGACTATAGACTAGACTATAGACTAGACTATAGACTAGACTATAGACTAGACTATAGACTAGACTATAGACTAGACTATAGACTAGACTATAGACTAGACTATAGACTAGACTATAGACTAGACTATAGACTAGACTATAGACTAGACTATAGACTAGACTATAGACTAGACTATAGACTAGACTATAGACTAGACTATAGACTGGACCATAGACTAGGCTATAGACTAGACTATAGACTAAACTATAGACTAGACTATAGACTAGACTATAGACTAGACTATAGACTAGACTATAGACTAGACTATAGACTAGACTATAGACTAGACTATAGACTAGACTATAGACTAGCCTATAGACTAGACTATAGACTAGACTATAGACTAGACTATAGACTAGACTATAGACTAGACTATAGACTAGACTATAGACTAGACTATAGACTAGACTATAGACTAGACTATAGACTAGACTATAGACTAGACTATAGACTAGACTATAGACTAGACTATAGACTAGACTATAGACTAGACTATAGACTAGACTATAGACTAGACTATAGACTAGACTATAGACTAGACTATAGACTAGACCAGCGGTTCCCACCGTTTTTTACTTCGCGGACCCCTTGAGGAATTTATTTAATTTCACGGACCCCCATACATATTTTGATATCTTATTGTTATAAATAACACTGTGATACAAAAGTGAAGAAAAATAAAATGCAGGCGTTCTCATATACCAATTCTATTTCGTTATAGTCCATAGAGTACGAATATATTTTTAGTTTTCCCCTATCACTTCGTTAACTTACTTTTTAAGAGCAAAAGATGCGAAAAAGAGCCATTTTTGAAGTTTTAAATTTGAAAAATCATAAGTTTAGTAGTAGTTTTCATCCGATTTTCAAATCCGATATTTTTTTTAATGATACAAGTGTTGCCGTTTAAGTAAAGAAACTCACACTTTTTTAAAAAAATTTCATTTTCATCATGCTCTACTTTGACCTTGAGGCAGTGAGTTCATCTTTTATTACTTTCCTGAAGAATCACATAAAGGAAGGTTTCTAAAACTTGTTATTTCATAAAAATCTATGAAAAACTGGATGATTTATGCCAATTTTTCTAATAGCATGTTCCTCGAATTTTTGGTTTTCTCCATACAAATTAATTTTTGTATAAAAATGTTTATAAACATTTTTTAAACTTGTTACAAAGAAAACCAGAAACATGAACGTTTTTGTATGGAAGAAATATGCTATATTTTTATAAAACTTAGCACAACTCATAACCTTTTTCATCGATTATCATAAATTGACCATCATTGGAAACCCAACTTAATGTGCCTTTTTTCAAATGTAATAAAAGCTAAAGTTACTGCTTCATGGCCAACGTAGAGCAGTATGAAAATTAAAAATTGTGAAAAAAATGTGAGTTTTTTTACTTAAAAGGCCGTAACCAAGACATTAATCATAAATTTTGGATTTATTTTTTTGGGTTGAAAGACAACACTTGTATCTTTAAAACAAAATATCCAATTTGAAAATCGGTTGCAAACTACCATAAATATATTTTTTTAAAGTTAAAACTTCAAAAATAGCTCTTTTTCACATCTTTTGCTCTTAAAAAGGAACTAAACGAAGTGATCGGGAAAAATTAAAAATATATTCCTACTCTATGGACTATAACGAAATGGAATTGGTATATGAGAACCCCTGCATTTTTTTGCTGTATCACTGTGTAATTGTTCGTCCGAAAATTGTCTTAGTCCTGGTCCATAAACCCTATAAAATATTCCCGTACATTGAGATCGGAGATGTTTTCAATTGCATGGTTTTAAATATAGAATGACTTCTAACATGATGTTTAATTTTATGATCGTGAGAGCTTTCATGTTCATTTCTCGTCAAGGTATAGAAAAGGTTTCTTTATCAAGTATTGTCGACATGTGCTTAAAGAGTCATGTTTCTAAATTTTTTTGCGATTGCATAGGAGTGAGCTGAGTATGTAAGCTAAGTTTTCGAGAAAATATGTGAAAGTTAGACTTCTTCGATGTTGTTGCGGAATGCGTTACCCACATAAAATATGACCTGAACTCTTTGCGAATGTACTGTGAATTTGGATCTTAATTTTGAATTTTAAAATACCTACGAATTATTTTACTGCGTGGTTTTGACTATTTACGCAAAACGCTATGAATTTTCTGATGTTGATTTAATAATATTGGACAACAAAATGAAGTTAAAATCTGTGTATCACGTCGGAATGGAATATTTATATTTAAAATTAACTAGATTAACACTTTTGCTTACAATTTAAAAAATATTATGAAATGTGACCTAACCTGGGATACCAGTATCAGTATTTAATTCTAAGGCAAATCATTATCCGTCTGCTATAAAAACATTTATTTCGATACATATACATTTATAAAAATTACAAATCACGTAATACTTTACTTTATAAAAGTGAAACAATAAATTTGTAAGGCCTAGCTTCATCCTGATAAACGACCGAAACAATAAAATTCAAAGAGTCACCAACAAATCTGGGATTATTGAATAAAAATTGTGTATTTTAGTATTTATGACAAATTTGGAGATATTTTTAATATTTTCTAACATATAGATAATATTTTTTATTCATGATTTTTTTCGTTCGTCTTCGCGGACCCCCTAGGATTTTGCTACGGACCACTAGGGGTCCGCGGACCCCCTTTTGGGAACCGTTGGACTAGACTATAGACTAGACTATAGACCAGACTAGACTAGACTAGACTAGACTAGACTATAGACTAGACTATAGACTAGACTATAGACTAGACTATAGACTAGACTATAGACTAGACTATAGACTAGACTATAGACTAGACTATAGACTAGACTATAGACTAGACTATAGACTAGACTATAGACTAGACTATAGACTAGACTATAGACTAGACTATAGACTAGACTATAGACTAGACTATAGACTAGACTATAGACTAGACTATAGACTAGACTATAGACTAGACTAGACTAGACTATAGACTAGACTATAGACTAGACTATAGACTAGACTATAGACTAGACTATAGACTAGACTATAGACTAGACTATAGACTAGACTATAGACTAGACTAGACTAGACTATAGACTATAGACTAGACTATAGACTATAGACTAGACTATAGACTAGACTATAGACTAGACTATAGACTAGACTATAGACTAGACTATAGACTGGACTATACTATAGACTAGATTATTGACTAAACTATAGACTTGACTATAGACTAGACTATAGACTGGACTATAGAGTGGCCTGTAGACTAGACTATAGACTAGACTATAGACTAGACTATAGGCTAGACTATAGACTAGACTATAGACTAGACTATAGACTAGACTAGACTTTAGACTAGACTATAGACTAGACTATAGACTAGACTATAGACTAGACTATAGACTAGACTATAGACTAGACTATAGACTAGACTATAGACTAGACTAGACTTTAGACTAGACTATAGACTAGACTATAGACTAGACTATAGACTAGACTATAGACTAGGCTACACAAAATGATTATTGTACTTAATTTTCCATCCCTGCTTGTTGCCGCTGACTTTTTGATTTTCCGATTTAGAACAATACGATTCATACCCGAACCCTGGCACGAAAGAATAATAACAACCAAAGGGTAAATAAAGCACATGGAAATTTGTAAATACGAGTAAAATGATATGTAGACTAAAAGAGAGAAGTTTTATTATTGCTGTTGTTGTAGAGTAATTTAAGACTTTACGATTATATCAGTAATAAAATTTACAACAAGCATATTTATATGGGATTGTAGTAGATGTGGTTGTTGTAGCTATAATGTAAGAGCAACAAATCAAACACAGTTCAATTTGTTGTGTTTTTTTTTTTACTTTTGGTGTATATTTTGTTCTAGTCTCAAATGAAAAACGATCACTCACTTAAAAAGAGTATTGAAAACAAAAACAAACAAACAAACGACTGAAAAAGCAAGAACAAACCACAACAAACGACGGCAACGAACGACTAAACGAAGTTTTTTTAAAAAAAATTATGGTCGCTGGCATAAACGTTGTCGTCAGTTGTCTACGTCGCTAGCAGTACTTAGTTTTGAATGTACGTAGACGTACATAGTTGGGGTAGTGGTTTATCAAAAATCCCAAACACACATACGACCGACTGACAGACCAAACACTCACTACAAGAAGTACGATTGAACCTAGTACTAGTATTTAATAGTTAACGGCGCTGTTTGAGGTTGACTTCGTTGTAAAAAAACTAAAGGAGCTGCTGCTAGTGGCGCTGCTATCGCCCAACTTTAACTCAAATAGACAAACGATACCAAAATGATCACAAAACTAAATTTGCTGTTCGTTATTCGACAACAACAACTCATTGCGATCAGCAGAGACCCCTGAACAGACGGACAAAGAAATTTAAAGAAAAAAGACGCGAAAATTAACAAATTTGTTTGAATACAAACGTCTAGTAGTACTAAACGGACAGACAAACAAATAGCACGCGCAATATTCAAAATATTTAAGTGTGGCCGTTATTTTTTTGCTTTAAAAAAAAATTAAGTTTTCAAACTCCTTAACAAGTTAAATGGTAAATGAAACATTGTCGGTATAAAAACAGACAACCGTTTAACAAACCAAAAATAACTTTATTTTAGTAAAATAACAAAATATTTAAAAAAGTGCTTAAGTTTTAAATAAATAAAATAAAACAAATAATTTCCTGTAAATAACTAAAAATTAAAAATAAATTAATTAATGAAGCAAAATTAAATAAAAGTGACAAGATAATAATGAAAAAAAAAAAAATCATTAAAATTATATAAAAAAACGAAACAAAAAACATACATAATATTAAATAATTAAAAACATCTTATCAATTCTTCAACAAAAACATAATAAAAAAAAATAAAATTATAGAAGAAAAACACAACAAAAAACTAAACAAATTACTCAATCCAAAATATTAATCAAATCATAATACAAATATTCGTTGGCACTAAATAATAAAAATAATAACAAAAAAAAAATTATAAAAGTGGGAAGTTGTAAATTATCTATGAATGAAAACGTAAAAAAAATATGAAAAACAAAAAAGTGCCTACGAGCAAGTGTTTTATGGATTTTTAAAGAAAAACAAAATTGTGTAAAAAACAAAAATACTCAAATTACTCCAGACAAGGTTTTACACATTAACAAAAAAAATTTTTAATTTTTTTCTGAAATAAGAAAAACTGTAATATGATTCAAGAATTTTTAGGAGATTTTCATGCCGACTGTAGTTTTTATATGGAAAATCTGTGCAGACTTTCCACACTAATTACGTTCCACTAAAAGCAATTTGCTCACCCTAGGCCGCTATCGAATCTTACCCACCGTTCCATTAGTCCAAGTGTCCATATTTTTAATTCATCATTCGTTGTGTCGAAGGGTTTTGTATTCATTAGATTTATATCTTCATTAAGAGCACATCGATCTTTCATTGCCTATTTTCCTCGAGTGGTCCGGTATAGATATGTTTCAGAACTTATCACCAGAAGAGTATTCAGTTATGGCTCTCTTACACTCCAATACGGTTCAAATCATATTCAATTTTCGAGTTTTTAATGTAGATTTCAAGACTCGATATCTTCCAATTTATGGACATCCGTCCATCTGGGAACAATGCCTCCAAGTTCCCGACAATTTCTATTAACCGTTTATATATTGCCTTGCTAAATGTTCGCTATACATTGATAATGTGTTCTGTAAGCGGTATTGGTAAATTCGCCTAAATGGTCGACATATTGCTCATGGCCTCACTAACACCTAAGCAACATTTTCACTGAATTTTCTTACCCACCATTCATTAGTTTTACATCCTTAAGATACCTTCCATTTATAGCAAATACATTCGCTCTTTTATTGACAATTTTTCTCGAGAGGTCTGGTATCGATATGTTTCAGAACTAACCACGAGAAGAGTATTTAATTATGGCTCTCTTGCTGTTCAACACGATTCAAATCATATTCAATTTCCAATTTTCAATTCGAGTTTCCAATGTAGATTTCTGGATTTGATATCTTTCAATTTATCTGGGAACATTGCCTCAAAGTTCTCGACAATTTATGTTACCGATGCTTGTACATTGATAACGTGCTCTGTAACCGGCTTTGGTCAATTTGGTTGTGAGTACTAGTCTAGTACTTTCATGCCTTTTGATCGACGCTAATTTTTCTAAATCTTTGCGAGTTTTCAATATAGATTTCTAGACTCGTTTTATATTCCAGTTTAGAGTAATCCCTCTATATGGGAACAGTGCCTCAAAGTTCCCGACAATTTCTATATCCGATGTTTATGCATTGATAAAGTGTTCTGAAACCGGTTTTGGTTAAATCGCCTAACGAAAGCAGTCGCTCGGTTGTAAGTATTAGTCTAGTACTTTCATGCCTTTTGATCGGCGCTATATCCACTAATTTTTCTAAAGCTTTACGAGTTTTCAATGCAGATTTCTAGACTCGTCTTATCTGTCAGTTTATAGCTATCTGTCTATTTGGGAACAGTGCCGCAAAGTTCCCGACAATTTATATTTCCGATATTTATGCATTGATAAAGTATGTTCTTCTTTCAATTAAAAAGTTCTTTTCAGACTATGAGTTTCTCCTAAATAGAAAAGTTCTATAGGAAAGTTGCTCAGATTATGAGCTTCTTTTTAATAGAAAAGATAATCATACTGTGCGCCTTTGTTCTCTAGAAAAGTTGCTCTCACTATGAGCCTCTTTTCTATAGAAAAGTTCCTCTGATTATGAGCCTCTTTTCGCTCGAAAAATAGCACTTTTCTATATAAAAGTTGATCAGACTGTAGGCTCTTTTCTATAGAAAAGTTGCTCAGACTATGAGCTTCTTTTCAATAGAAAAGTTAGTCAGACTATGATATTCTTTCTATTTAAAAGTTGCTCCCACTGTGTATAGAAAAGTTGATCAGACTGTGAGCTTCTCTTTTATAGAAAAGTTGCTCAGACTATGAGCTTCTCTTCTATAGAAAAGTTCTATAGGAAAGTTGCATAGATTATGAGCTTTCTTTTCAATAGAAAAGCTGATCATACTGTGCGCCTCTGTTCTCTAGAAAAGTTGCTCTTATTATGAGCCTCCTTTTTCTAGAAAAGTTGGTCTGATTATGAGGTTCTTTTCTCTACAAAAGTTGCTCTGATTATGATCCTCTTTTTTATAGAAAAGTTGCACTGATTATGAGCTTCTGTTCTATAGATAAGTTGTTCTCAATATGAGCTTCTTTTCTAGTTCAAACTGTGAGCTGCTTCTCCAAAGAAAGCTGATCATAATAAGAGCTTCTCTTCTATAGAATAGTTGCTCAGACTATGATCTTTTTTCTATTAAAAAGTTGTTTCGACTGTGAGTTTATTTTCTATAGAAAAGTTGCTTACACTGTGAACCTCTTTTCTCTAGAAAAGTTGCTCTGACTAGCCTCTTCTATAGAAAAGTTTCTCCAACTTTGAGGTTTTCTTCTATAGGATAATTGCTCAGACTGTGAGCCTCTTATCTATAGGGAAGTTGCTTAGACTATGAGCGTGTTGACACAGACTCTGAGCTTTCTTTTCTATAGATGCCCAGTCTTTCTGGGCAAGTGTTCTATAGAAAATATTCCTTCAAATATATTCTGTTGATAAGGTTAATCCTGTTTTAATCCTCCCTCCGAGGGACATTGTTCAGTATTAGTTAATTATTGTAAAGAATTTCCCCCAACCAAACAAAACAAGATCAATAATAATTGCGTTATAAATATTCTTGCAATTATAGCAAATTTTTTTTCAATATTTTATTAAATTTCTTTATTAAAATTCTTTCACGTAATTTGCATTAGATTTAATTATTTAATAAGAAACTATTAATTTGTTGCGTATTAAGTTTTTTTTCTTCACTTTGTTCTAAAGGGATTAAGTTGCAATAGGTTAGTTTTTGTTATTTATTACAAATAAACTTAATTGTTTTATTTAAATTGAATTAAATCGAGTTAAATCGCGACTGTTTTAAGTCAGAGATAATTTGAACTGAATTGTCATAAATTGTATGATGAATGAAAGTTTCGATAAGAAGAGTCCTTTAACTAAACTATCATGGAGAGTTTATAGGAAAACTTTGATCCTATAGATCCTTTTAGATTTAAGACGAGTCAAAGTGACTGTAAAGCTTAATTTATAGATTAGACTGTAGAGCAGTATATAGATAAGTGTATAACCGAGGCTTTCGACAACTCTATAGCCTAGAACGCAGATGAGGCTGTAAAGTAGTTTATAGACTGGACTGTAGAGTAGTATATAGTCAAGTGTATAGTCGAGACTGTCAACAACTCTATAGGCTATAAAGCAAACGAGTGTTTAGAGAAAACTGTAGATGTTTCTATAGACTTGATATATGTATATATGAGAGATTTTATAAAGCTTGATCTTGATTGTATAAAGATCATTAAAGAATCGTAATAAAATCTCAGACCAAATTTCTTTTCTTTCTTTTCTTTATATATATTTTTTTGTTATTTTCAAATTCACTAAATTATATTCTGCTTGAAAAGTCCACTTGTAGTATTTATTATATTAGTCATTATCTTTAAGTACTCATAGGGTCGAGTAATTAAATATGACCTTCCTATAAATAATATTGTGTTTTAAATTTCAAAGACATTTTTTTCAGCCAAAATAATTTACAACAACTAATATTTTTTGACAAAAAAAAAGAAACATAATTTATAAAAAACAAACATTTTATTATTGATAATTATGCAGCTGATAATATCAAATGAAAAACCCCAAAAAGTATGACAAACTACTGATAAGACTCTCTAACTAATGAATTGCTATTGTTTTCCTCTTAACAACACACCTTTTAAAATTAAACCTTTAATATTTGTTTTTTTCTTAAATGAAAATTTAATAAACTATTTTATTTACATATTTTGTTGCTTAATGGTGTATAAAATAAGAAAATAATAATAAAATAAATTTTATTTAAGCAACACTTCAAAAAATAACCAGTCTCTACAAAAACACTTAAACATAAATTTAAAATTAATAAAATAAATTATTGTAAAATATTTTAAAATTTATTTAATAGTTGTGTTTTGTTGCTATTAATGAGTGTTAACGCTTAAAGTTAGCAACAAAACGAACATTACCTGACTTGGCATCACTCCACAGAAGAAATCTGCTAAAATCTTGAAATTATTTACAATTTCTTGAAAAGGTTTTTTTATTTGGTAATTTTCTTTGATTTAAATTTTATTTTAAAATATTTTTTTATTGTTTGACATAAACACATTAATATTTGTATTTTTATTTTTGAATTGGTAGCACTTTTATCAACGTTAAAATTAACTTGTATAATTTTACACGTTAACTCCTAACGTTTATAAATTTTAAATTTATATGAAATTGCCTTTGAACGTTAGCAACAAAACACAACTAATGTCTCAAAACCATAAAAAATAAATTGAAAAAAAAATATTTACAACTAAATAATATAGAAAAATGGTTAAAACAACATTTCTTACTAACTGATCTCTCACACTTCAACCAATCAATTTGTGACAAACAAAATATGGGAAATTTTTAAAAACAATTTATATGTATGACCAAAAAGACAAAACTACAATACAAAATGAATTATTTCTTATAAACATTGTTGTCCCTGTTAAAAAGTAGTTGCCACAAGAAAAAACAAAATAAATTATAAAATTAAACTTTTAACAAAAACCTTAAATACAAAATTTATTACGCAAAAGAAAAATTTTTGCTTAAAATACTAGTAAAATCTTGAAATGAAAGACAAATCTTTAGGCTATAATAAATCACATAAAAATGTTTATAATGCAATATTTTTGCAATAAAAAAAATTTTTTCAACAATAAATTTGCAGTTAAATTTCAATTTACTGTTAAATTTATTAACGTTAATTAAATGACGATGTTAATGAAGCGTCTCAGAAAGATAAGCATACTTTTGGGGGGTTTTAATACATAATAAAAAGAGAACTAAAAATTCATAACACTGGAGTTTGAAAGAGAGAGAGAGAGGGAGAGAGTGTCTGAGCAAGTTTTATATTAAATACTTATTAGCAAATCTTCACAGAGAGCAAATTTTTTTATAAAAACGATCGTCTCAATGTCTGCAAATTTTCTCTAGAAAAGATTCTCTCTAAATGAGCAACTTCTCTCTTAAAAAGATCCTCACTAAAAGAGCAGCTTTTCTCTAGAAAATATCCTCTCTAAAAGACCAACTTTTCTATAGGAAAGATCTTCACTAAATGAGAAACTTTTCAATAGAAAAGATCCTCACTAAATGAGCAACTTTTCTCTAGAAAATATCCTCACTAAAAGAGCAACTTTTCTCTTGAAATGATCCTCACTAAATGAGCAACTTTTCTCTAGAAAAGATCCGCACTAAATTAGCAACTTTTCTCTATAAAAGATCTCCACTAAAAGAGCAACTTTTCTATAGGAAAGATCTTCACTAAATGAAAAAATTTTCTATAGAAAATATCCTCACTAAATGAACAACTTTTCTCTAGAAAAGATCCTCACTAAATAATCAACTTTTCTATAGAAAAGATTCTCATTAAATTAGCAACTTTTCTCTAGAAAATATCTTCTCTAAAAGAGCAACTTTTCTATAGGAAAGATCTTCACTAAATGAGAAAATTTTCTATAGAAAAGATCCTCACTAAATGATCAACTTTTCTCTAGAAAATATCCTCACTAAAAGAGCAACTTTTCTCTAGAAACGATTCTCACTAAATGAGCAACTTTTCTCTAGAAAAGATCCTCACTAAATTAGCAACTTTTCTCTATAAAAGATCTCCACTAAAAGAGCAACCTTTCTATAGGAAAGATCTTCACTAAATGAGAAAATTTTCTATAGAAAAAATCCTCACTAAATGAACAACTTTTCTCTATAAAAGATCATCACTTTTCTTCACAAAGTGAGTAACTTTGCTATAGAAAAGACTCTCACTCACTTTGTCAACTTTTCTTTGGCAAAGATCCTCACATTGTAAGCAACTTTTCTATGGAAAGATCCTCACTTTTCTATGGAAAAGATCCTCACATTGTGAGCAACTTTTCTATGGAAAAGATCCTCACACTGTGAGCAACTTGATCGTTTTCTGAGCATTATTTCTTAAAAATAACTTAAATATTTGTTAACCGCTATAAACTTGTCTGGAGTAATAGAGTAGGAAATATGGTATTTAACAAAAATATTTTCATTTCTAAATAGATTTACCACTGAAAGACATAAACACTTTTATCGAAAAATGTATAAAAATTAAAATTAATTTTATTGCTGAATTTAAAAATAAATTAAGTAAAAACTGCTTAACAAAAAAAAAAAAAATTCCAATAAATTTTTAAGACCGTAACAAAGAAACATTTAAAACATCTTTAAGAAAACAACAAGAAAAAAAACTGTCAAAATACCACAAAAATTAAACAGTCAAAACTAAACAAAATAACATTAAAAACATTCCAAAATATAAACAAACGTTTAAAGAAAATAATACTATACATTAAATAGTAGTGATCGTAAATGTGTGACCATAAACATTTAAATATAAACGTGAGTGGTAATTGTTGCTGTGGCTGCTGCTGCCGCCACTGTTGCTGTTGAAATATTGTAACCGATCAACTGGGCAAATATGCGTTCATATCAGCGCGGTTTCTTTTGTGCCGACCTAACCATACGCTATCCATATCATGAGTGCACAATAACCGTGCCCATGCTATTGGTCTGCATGCTACTGCTGCCCATGTTGTTCCTTAGCGTGGTGGAGATTATGCGGTTGTGTCATAACTTTCGCATGCGCCAATATCTGCGTAATGTTACCTTCAGTTTGGGTTGTTTTAGTTTTGGTTTTATAGCTACTTATCTGTCCACGGAATTGGCCAAGAATGTTGTCAGACGTTTAAGGCCCCACTTTTATACGGCCTGTCGTCCACAACTTAATGATGGTTCCACTTGTGAGGAGGCCAAAAATCGTAATCTCTTTGTGGAGCAATACTACTGTTCAAATCGTAATCTAACCGCTTTACAGTTAAGAGAGTTGTATGTGTCATTTCCCAGTGCCCATTCGTCGCTGTCATTTTATGCCATGTTATTTTTGGCCTTTTATTTACATGCCATATGGCGCGGTGGACGCGGCATACAGCGTGTCTTACGTCATCTATTGCAGTTTCTATTTCTCTCGATGGCCTGGTTTATTTCGCTCAGTCGTGTGGCCGACTATTGGCATCACTGGTCGGACGTGTTGGCCGGTGCGGTAATGGGTATCATTTATGCCACACTAACCGCCTTGTATGTGGGTAGATTTTTGCAAATAAATTCTCACACAAATAAAATCACCAGCTCTCTGCCGCCTCATGGCAATTGTAACTTTAACTTGCAACATTGTACAACGGCAGTCGTTGGTGGTGGAGTTGTGTCCAACAAGTTGAAATCAAATTTGAAAAAGTCATCATTACAACATGTACCCTCGAGCGTTAGTTTCAGTCAGACTCTGCAACAATTGCAGTTGCAACAGACTGAAGATCAAACCTCCGCCCCGACTACAGCTTTATCATCATCATCATTACAGGCATCGTTGGTAGCCGCCAAAGAGCATCTTATACGTAATGAATCTAATGAATGTGTATGGAAATCGGGAACATAGTGTGGAATCAGCAGAAAAAAAAATACATGAAAAATAAAACGTATAAAGTTACTTTGTCTGTTATTGCATTCAACTCTTTTTTTGTTTAGTACTTTTTAAGTCCATTATTTATTTATTGTTGTTACTTCTAGTGCTGATGCTGCTGCTGTAGAAAAAAATTCTTGTGGATTTAGTTCTTTAGTTTTTTTTCCATGTCGATTTTTTTTGTATGCCAACAATTATTGTAATTGAGAAATTATTATGATGTGTATTGAAATGTGATAACCTTTTTTATTTTGTATTTTTCTATCTTTATATTTATTTATAAGTATCTGTTTTCCCAAAGGCAGTAGAGATTAAAATGATGGCACAATTTTATTACAGAAAAGTTCATCACAAGTTTTCTATAACAAAGATTCTCACAATATGAGCAAAATCTTGACAGAAGAGAGCTTCACAATGTGAACAACTTTTCTATAGAGAAGTTCATCATAATGTGAATTTTCTGTTGAAAATTTCTTCATAATATGAACAACTTTTCTATAAAAAAGATCACCACAATGTGAACAACTTTCTATAGAAAAGATCACCACAATGTGAGCAACTTTTCTATAAAAAAGATCACCACAAAGCGAGCAACTTCTCTATAAAAAAGATCACCACAATGTGAACAACTTTTCTATAGAAAAGTTCATCATAATATGAACAACTTTTCTGTAGAAAAGTTCTTCATAATATTTACAACTTTTCTATAGAATAGATCATCATAATATGAACAACTTTTCTATAGAAAAGTTCATCATAATATGAACAACTTTTCTATAGAAAAGTTTATCATAATATGAACAACTTTTCTATAGAAAAGTTCATCATAATATGAACAACTTTTCTATAGAAAAGTTCATCATAATATGAACAACTTTTCTATAGAAAAGTTCATCATAATATGAACAACTTTTCTATAGAAAAGTTCATCCAAATTTGATCAACTTTTGTAGAGAAAAGTTCATCCAAATTTGATAAAATTTTGTATAGAAAAGTTCATCCAAATTAGATCAACTTTTGTATAGAAAAGTTCATCCAAATTTGATCAGCTTTTTTATAGAAAAGTTCATCCATATTTGATCAACTTTTGTACAGAAAAGTTCATCCAAATTTGATCAACTTTTGTACAGAAAAGTTCATTTAAATTTGATCCCCTTTTCTATAGAAAAGTTCATCCAAATTTGATCAACTTTTTTATAGAAAAGTTCATCCAAATTTGATCAACTTTTTTATAGAAAAGTTCATCCAAATTTGATCAAATTTTGTATAGAAAAGTTTATCCAAATTAGATGAAGTTTCGTATAGAAAAGTTCATCCAAATTTGATCAACTTTTGTATAGAAAAGTTCATCCAAATTTGATCAAATTTTGTATGGAAAAGTTCATCCAAATTTTATCATCTTTTATATAGAAAAGTTCATCCAAATTTGATCAACTTTTGTATAGAAAAGTTAATTAAAATTTGATCAACTTTTCTATAGAAAAGTTCATTCAAATTTGATCAACTTTTGTAAAGAAAAGTTCATCCAAATTTGATCAACTTTTGTATAGAAAAGTTCATCCAAATTTGATCAACTTTTGTATAGAAAAGTTCATCCAAATTTGATCAACTTTTGTAGAGAAAAGTTCATCCAAATTTGATAAAATTTTGTATAGAAAAGGTCATCCAAATTTGATCAACTTTTGTACAGAAAAGTTCATCCAAATTTTATCAAATTTTGTATAGAAAAGTTTATCCAAATTAGATGAAGTTTCGTATAGAAAAGTTCATCCAAATTTGATCAACTTTTGTGTAGAAAAGTTCATCCAAATTTGATAAACTTTTGTATAGAAAAGTTCATCCAAATTTTATCAACTTTTGTATAGAATAGATCATCCGAATTTGATCAACTTTTGTATAGAAAAGTTTATCCAAATTTGATCAACTTTTTTATAGAAAAGTTCATCCAAATTTGATCAACTTTTGCATAGAAAAGTTCATCGAAATTTGTTGTTTTGCAGTTCTCTCGAATAGTTGTACTGATCAGGTTCTCTCCAAGAAATTCTCTCTCAATCTTGCCAAGTGTTATTGAGATATTGTTTGCTATCATTTTAACCACTACTGTCTTATACCTATATGTAATAGTATACATATCTGTATGCTATTATATATATTTTTTTTATTATATATGCCAATTTATGATGCATATAATTTTTTATGATAATTTATATATTTTTTTATTTATATTTTGTTGTTATTTATTCTATATAAAGATATAAATTTCAATAAGAAACAATGTGAATATGATGCTTTTTTTTATAGGATGTGTTAAAATATATAGAGACATTTATGGACAAAGAATAGTGATTGTAACCCATTAAGATTTTTTTGTTCGTTCATTGCTGCGAAAAAAAAGTAACGGAAATCCTGTATGTAGAAATAAAAATGTGACATTTTTTATGGGAATATAATTTTTTTTTATACATATTTTGTCTTTAATGTCCTATGATCTATTAAAAATAAATATTTATGCTGCTTTAATTTTAGGGACCAAGTCCTTGTTAGTTTTATGTTAAATTTATATCAAATTAAAAATAAAAATCTGAAATTCTTTACTTGCCCCACATATTCAGTTTAAGTTTAACTTAATAATTTTTAAGTTTTTAATTTATTAAATTTTATTTTAAGTTCTCACACCCTAAAGTACATTTATTGCATTTCATAATTTAGTTTATTTAGTTAATAATACATTTATTTAGTGTGTGTGTAAATAAATTATTTAAATAAATTTACAATTACATTTAGTTTTAATTTGTAGTTTTTCTTATTTGTATTTAATTTAATTTTAATCGAAAGTAAATTTCCTTTATTTATTTATACTGTATGTATATATGTATATTATTTGTTTTTTGAGTGCAGCTACTAACAATCTTAATGTTGGTTTTAAATAGTGCTTTGTTTGCCAAATAAACTTATTTAAACAAAACTTAAATAAATAAACCCAATGACTTGTTTTTATTACGCAGTGTAGTTGAAATGCTGTTACAAAGCGTAGTAATTATCATTGACAAACAATGATCGAAGACAAGGTAAAGTAATTAGTTAATGATAAGAAGAATTAAAGTTAATTGAACTTTTTTTTATACATATTATCATTATAAATGAGATTTAATGGAAATAACTACATACAAGTTGGCCACACTGCTATAACATTTTTTCAGACTAGACTATAGACTAGACTATAAACTAGACCATAGACTAGACCATATAATAGACTGTAGACTAGTCTATAAACTATACCATAAACTAGACTATAGGCTGGACTATAGGCTAGTCTAAGGAATAGATTATACACAAGACTATAGATTAGGCTATAGACTAGACTATAGACTGGACTATAGACTAGAATATAGACTATACACTAGACTAGAGACTGGACTACAGACTAGAATATAAACTATAGAATAGACCATAGCCTAGAAACTGGACTATAGACTAGAATATAAACTATAGACTAGACTATAGACTAGACTATAGCCTTGACTATAGACTAGACTATAGACTAGACTATAGACCAGACTATAGACAAGACTATAGACTAGACTATAGACTAGATTATAGACTAGACTATAGACTAGACTATATACTAGACTGTAAACTAGACTATAAACTAGACTATAGACTAGATATAGACTACACTATAGACTATATACTAGACTATAGACTAGACTATAGACTAGACTATAGACTAGACTATAAACTAGACTATAGACTAGACTATAGACTAGACTATAGTCTAGACTATAGACTAGACTATAGTTTGTAATCAGAGCAACTTTTCTATAGAAACAGTTGTTTGTATTCAGAACAACTTTTTTATAGAAAAAGTTGTCTGTAATCAGAGCAACTTTTTTATAGAAAAATTTGTCTGTAATCAGAGCAGCTTTTCTATAGGAATGGTGGTCTGTAATCAGAAGAGCTTTTCTATGGAAAAAGTTGTCTGTAATCAGAGCAACTTTTCTATAGAAAAAGTTGTCTGTAATCAGAGCAACTTTTCTATAGAAAATGTTGTCCGTAATCAGAGCAACTTTTCTATAGGAAAATTTGTCTGTAATCAGAGCAACTTTTCTATAGAAAAATTTGTCTGTAATCAGAGCAACTTTTCTATAGAAATATTTTTCTGTAATCAGAGCAACTTTTCTATAAATATAGTTGTCTGTAATCAGAGCAACTTTTCTATAGAAAAATTTGTCTGTAATCAGAGCAACTTTTCTATAGGAAAATTTGTCTGTAATCAGAGCAACTTTTCTATAGAAGAAGTTGTCTGTAATTAGAGAAACTTTTCGGTAGAAAAAGTTGTTTGTAATCAGAGCGACTTTTCTGTAGAATAATTGTCTGCAATCAGTTAAACTTTTGTATAGAAAAGTTGCCTGTCAACTTTTAATTTTCTAGAGAGAAGTTGTAATTAATGAGACTTTTCTATAAAATGTCTCTAATCAGTTTTTTTATTTATATTTATTTTAAATTTTGATAAGCAAACTTTGCTGATAAGAAAAGCTCTATTTAAAAAAAAAACACTTTTTTGTTAAAAAAAAACAGTTAAATTTAAACTGTGTGTTTAGTATTTAAATTTTATTTTGCTATACTGTAGCATACTTTCAATATTCTCCCTTTGTTTCTTTTTGCATAAAAGATGACTTTTTGTTCTTCATAAATATATAAAATATTCAATTACTATATATCAGTAAAAGTTTTATGTGAATACAAAGCTCATACGTATAGAATAATTTCATTTTCATTTTCAAAAAGTGATTTAGACAAAATATTCACATATATCAGCAGCAACATAGTTTTACATATGACATTTAGACAAGAAATATTAAGGGGGAATGCATAACAATTTATATATTCATATTTAATAAAAGTTAAATTTTGAAGAAATCTTTAAAGTGAAGCAGTGTAGTTTTGTCTTATTGTTAAAAATCTACTGATACTCATATGAATTTAAACAAAAATATACTAACTTTATGTTATAGAAATTGTATAAATGCAAAGAAATCATAGCAGTCATCAACATCATCATCCTCCTCCTGCGAACTTTTAACAATGGGCATCAGTTTGTTAAGTGGGTTAGAGAATAAACGTGCTAGGAAGAAAACCTTTTCATTGAAAACTTATAGAAAACTTGTATGTCTTCAATGACAACTTTTTCGAAAATAGTTCGTTTCTTTTTCATTTCTTGCTTCTGTTTTCTTTTTTGTTACTCATAGGAGGAGGGTTAGTATTTTTGAAATATAAAACTGTTTTAGACTGGTTGAAACTGCAAACTATAAGCATAAGTGAGATGGATAGAAGAAAATATGTATATCTATAATATAAAAATTTTATTATTCCTCTCGACAATAGAAGCTCTGCATGGTTCAATTATCGTATTTCATGATTCGTTAAATTCAGATCTAAGCATGTGTTTGTTTTTCTTTATTTTAGTTTTTTTTTTCTCTTGTCTTCTTCATCATCATCTATTTTCTATTTCTGGTATTATTTCATTTATCTTTAGGTTTGACTACAATTCCTTAGATGGGGTTTCATTATAAAACAACAATTTTCTTAGAAGTAAATCATAAAATATAAATTGTAGCATTTCCAAAAGGATTTAAAAGGATTCTAAAAGAATATTGTCTGGACTAAGAGAAACTTCCATATAGAATAGTTGTTTTCTCCAGAAAAGTTGTCTATACTAAGAGCAACTTCTCTATAGAAAAGTTGTCTAGACTAAGAGCAACTTTTTTATAGAAAAGTTGCCTAGACTAGGAGCAACTTTTCTTTAGAAAAGTTGTCTTCACTAAGAGCAACTTTTCTTTAGAAAAGTTGTCTGGACTAAGAGCAACTATTCTGTAGAAAAGTCGTCCAATCTAAGAGCAACTTTTCTTTAGAAAAGTTGTATTCAATAAGAGCAACTTTTCTATAAAAAAGATGTCTAGACTAAGAGCAACTTTTCTATAGAAAAGTTGTCTAGATTGAGAGCAACTTTTCTGTAGAAAAGTTGTCTAGATTGAGAGAAACTTTCCTATAGAAAAGTTGTCCAAATTAAGATCAAATTTTCTATAGAAAAGTTGTCCAAACTAAAAGCAACTTTTTTATAGAAAAGTTGTCCAAACTAAGAGCAACTTTTCTCTATAGAGAAGTTGTATAGACTAAGAGCAACTTTTCTATAGAAAAGTTGTCTACACTAAGAGCAACTTTTCTGTAGAAAAGTTGTCTAGATTGAGAGCAACTTTTCTATAGAAAAGTTGTCCAAACTAAGAGCAACTTTTCTATAAAAAAGTTGTCCAAACTAAGAGCAACTTTTCTATAGAAAAGTTGTCCAAACTAAAAGCAACTTTTCTCTACATAAAACTTGTCTAGACTAAGAGCAACTTTTCTATTGAAAAGTTGTCTACACTAAGAGCAACTTTTATATAGAAAGTTGTTTACACTAAGAGCAACTTTCTATAGAAAAGTTGTCTAGATTATGACAAACTTTTCTATAGAAAAGATGTCTAGATTATGACAAACATTTCTATAGAAAAGATGTCTAGACTAAAGAGTAACTTTTCTATTGAAAAGAAGAGAGCAAGTTTTCTATATAAAGTTTTTTTTTTAGTTAAAAGGCAACTTTTCTATAAAAATGTTTTCTAGTTTGAGAGCAACTTTTCTATGTAACAAGTTACTCAAATTTTGAACAACTTTTCTATAGAAAAGTTGCTCAGATTATGGACAACTTTTCAACTGAAAAGTTGCTAAGATGATGAACAACTTTCGTATAGAAAAGTTGTTTTGATTGTGAAAAATATTTGTAAAGAAAAGTTCCTCAGATGTTGGATATTTTTAAAGAAAAATTTAATTTGTTATTTTCATGTTGGAAATGGTGTTACCAGTGATAAAAAACCAAACACATACTAAATTTAACAAAAGAAACTTTTTAACTTAAAATTGAATATAAAGGTATGTTCTCATGGATATATCTGTGTATCTAAGGATATATGTATGTGTATAAGTATGGGTGTAGATTGTTTGATTGTATTTATGCACACACACATACAGACATATATATATATATAGATTTACAATAAGGAAAACGAATAAGACAAGTAATAATAATTTCAATGCCAACCATACATTCATTCTAGGTACAATGTAATGATATGAAAAGAAAACTAAACTAAACTACATACAACAACAAAAACAATAATTTAAGCAAAAAAAGAAATATACCCTATGACAACAACAAGAGGTATATAATAAAAGGACATTTTTACAAAACTTACGCACGCCTGAACAGAAAATGTAACAATTACACAGAGAAAAAAATAACATTGTCACATATAAAT